ACACCGGGAATGGGGCCGGGAATGGGGCCGGGAACCGGGAATGGGGCCGGGAACCGGGGATGGGGCCGGGAACCGGGGATAGGATCGGGAATGGGGAATGGGATCGGGAACCGGGGATGGGTTCGGGAACCGGGGATGGGTTCGGGAACCGGGAATGGGGCCGGGAAAACCGGGAAAACTGGGAATGAGATCAGGGAATGGGGCCGGGAACTGGGAACGGGATCGGGAACCGGGAATGGGAACAGGGATGGGGCTGGAAAAACTGGGAGTGGGATCGGGAACCAGGAATGGGGGAACTGGGAATGGGGCTGGAAATGATGGGAATAGCACTGGGAATGAAAACGGGAATACCGGAAATGGGGCCCGGGGAACCGGGAATGGGATCTGGGAATGGGATCGGGAACAGGGAATGGGGCCGGATACAGGGGAAGGGATCAGGAACTGGGAATGGGGCTGAGAAAACCAGGAAAACCGAGAATGGGATTGGGGAATGGGGCCAGGAACTGGGAATGGGATTGGGAATATCAGGAATGGGATTGGGAATGGGATCAGGGAACACCGAGAATGGGATTGGGAACCGGGAATGGGATTAGGGGAACTGGGAATGGGATCTGGGAATGGGATCTGGGAATGGGATCGGGAACAGGAAATGGGGCCGGGTACAGGGGAAGGGATCGGGAACTGGGAATGGGATCAGGAACTGGGAATGGGATTGGGGGAACTGGGAATGGGGCTGGGAATGGTGGGAATGGCACTGGAAATGGAATCGGGAATACCGGGAATGGAGCCCAGGGAACCAGGAATGGGATCGGGGAACTGGGAATAGGATCGGGGAATCAGGAATGGGGCCAGGAAAACCAGGAATGGGATCAGGGGAACTGGGAATGGGATGGAGGACAAGGACTGGAGGCGGCCCCAAATTCCTGGGAATTTCCCTCATTCCCGAATTTTTCCCTCCTGGAAAAGCCGCCGGGCCGGCTCGTTAACCCGGGAACGTTCCGGATGCTCCCGGTGGGAAATTCGGGCTTTAATTAAAATATCCCAGAAATTCATCGGAGCCGGGAATTCCCGGGAAGGGCCCCGATCCTAAAGGATTTGGGGTTTCCATGAGGACCAGGAATCAGGAACGGAGCTCCGGGAATTCTCCAGGAATTCTCCGGGAATTCCCAGAGTTGGGAGCACCACAGAATCTGTTTTATTGGGAATTCAGAGTCGGGGAGGAGGAGGGAAGAACATTCTGGAAAATCCCGTGTCCCACAGGGAAATTTTGGGATCCCGGGAACAGCCCCAGGCTCGGTTTGATCCCAAAAAAATCGCGGGGGAATGATCCCTTGGGAAAGGCGGGAATAGATCCATGGAAAACGGGACGGGGTCCAGAATGCGGCACCGGGAGCGGGACAGAGAAAATCCCAAATCCCGGGAATTTCTGGCACTGGGTGCATCCATTCCCATTCCCACCCCATTCCCATCCCATTCCCACCGATCCCATTCCCATCCCATGGATCCCGTTCCTGTTCTCGTTCCTGTTCCTGGTTTTCCCTCTCGCCTTCCCCCTACCCCCCCCGCCCCCGTTTCCATGGACACGGAGCCGCCGCAGCGGGAATTCCCGAGGGAGAGGGATCAGGATAGGGATCGGAATTGGGATCGGGATTGGGATCGGATCGCGATCGGATCGGGATGGGGATTGGGATCAGGATTGGATCGGGATTGGGATTGGATCGGGATCAGGACTGGGGTCGGGATCAGATTGGGATTGGATAGGGATCAGATCGGAATCAGGATCAGATCGGGATCACGATCGGGATCAGGATCAGATCGGGATCGGGATTGGATCAGGATACGGACTGGATCGGGATTGGGATCGGATCAGGATTGGGATTGGATTGGGATTGGATCAGGATTGGATTGGATCGGGATCACGATCGGCATTGGATCAGGACTGGGATTGGGAGTGGATCGGGATAGGGACCAGATTGGGATCAGGATTGGATCGGGACAGGGACTGGATTGGGATCGCTATGGGGATTGGATCGGGATTGGATCAGGATGGGGATGGGGATTGGATCGGGATCGGGAGTGGGATCGGATTGGAATAGGATCAGGATTCCTGAGGGATCGGTATCGAGATTGGGATTGGGATTGGATCGGGATTGGGATCAGGATCAGGATTGGATCGAGATTGGGATCAGAATTGGGAGCAGATCAGGATTGGGATTGGGATCGGGATTGGATGGGGATGGGGATGTGGATTGGGATCAGGATCGGGATCAGGATCGGGATCGGGATCAGGATCAGGACTGGGATCGGGATCGGGATCAACTCTTCCCATGCCCGGAGCGGCCCCGTGTCCCGTCCGTTCCGTGGGTTCGTCTCACTCCCGGCACCACTGGATCCCAATTTATCCCCGAGGACCAGGAATATTGGGAATGACGCTGGAATCCCGGGATTTGGGATGGAAAGGGACATGAAATCCCATCCCGCTCCAACCCCGACAATTCCCGCCATCCCAAATCCATCCTGGGACATTCCCTGGGAATTCCATCCCAGCCATGAATTCCTTCCCCAAATCCCAAGGAATCCCCGCCCTTGGAATGGGATGGGATTTGGGGTCCCTTCCCGCCCAAAGTGTCCCAGAATTCCAGGAATCCACAAATCCGTGATTTTGGGGAGGATTTTATTGGGGTTCGGGGAGGGAATGGGGACTTTGGGGACACCGAGGGGCTCCCGGGGACAGCGGGGTCGGGGCAGTCCTGGGAATGGGGAAAGGAGAAAAGGGAAATGGGAAATGGGGAAAAGGGAAATGGGGAAAAGGAAAAGGAAAAGGAAAAGGAAAAGGAAAAGGAAAAGGAAAAGGAAAAGGAAAAGGAAAAGGAAAAAGGAAAGGGAAAAGGGGAAAAGGGAAAAGCAGAATGGGGAAACGGATAAAGGGAAAGGGAAAAGGGGAAAGGGAAAAGGGGTAAAGGGAAAGGGGAAAAGGGAAAAAGGAAATGGGAAAGGGATAAAGGGAAAGGAAAAGGGAAAAGTGGAATAGGGATAAGGGATAAAGGAAATGGGAAATGGGAAAGGGAAAGGGAGAAGGGAAATGGGAAAAGGGAAAGGGGAAAAGGGATAAAGGAAAGGGGAAAAGGAAAAGGAGAAAGGGGAAAGGGGAAAGGGAAAGAGGAAAAGGGGAAAAGAGGAAAAGGGATAAAGGTAAAGGGAAAAGGGGAATGGGAAAAGGGGAATGGGGAAAGGGAAATGGGAAAGGGTTAAGGGGAAAGGAGAAAGGGGAAAGGGAAAAGGGAAAGGGAAAAAGGGAAAAGGAAAGGGAAAAGGGGAAAGGGAAAAGGGGAAAAGGGATAAAGGTAAAGGGAAAAGGGGAATGGGGAATGGGGAAAGGGAAATGGGGAAAAGGAAAGGGAAAAGGGGAAAGGCAAAAGGGGAAATGGAGAAGGGGAAAGGGGAAAAGGAAAGGGGAAAGGGAAAAGGGATAAAGGGGAATGGGGAAATGGATAAAGGGAAAGGAAAAGGGGAATGGGAAAGGGGAAAGGGGAAAGGGGACAAGGACAGGGATGAGGGAAAACAGACGGGGACAAGGACAGGGACAAGGAATATGGGATAAGAGATAGGGACAAGGGACAGGAGAAGGAACGGACAAAAGGGACAGGGACAGCGGACCGGGATGGGGACAGGGGATGAGGGTAACGGACAGGGACAGGGGACAGGGGTGGGGACAGGGGGTGAGGGTAAGGGACAGGGACACGGGATAAGGGACAAGGGATGGAATAAGGGACAGGGGACAGGGGATGAGGGATAAGGGACGGACAGGGGACAGGGACAGGGACAAGAGGATTAGGGGACGAGGACAAGGGATAAGGGATAAGGGATTAGGAATGGACACAAGGGACAGGATTAGGGGATAGGGACGGGGGACAGGAGATCCAGGATAAGGGACAAGGGACAGGGACACAGGATGAGGAGAAGAGGGACAGGGACAGGGGATAAAGGGATGGGGACAAGGGACAAGGAAGAGGGGCAAGGGATAAGGGACAGAGGAGAAGGACAGGGGACAGGGATGGGAACAGGGACAAGGGACAGGGACAGGAGATGGGGACAGCGGATGGGATAAACGACACGAGACAGGGATGGGGACAAAGACAGGGGACAGGGATGGGGACAAGGACAGAGACAGGGATCAGGGATAGGGACACAGGACAGGGAGGGGACAGGGACGGGGACAAGGGACAGGGGTAGGAAAAGGGGACAAGGGACAGAGACAAAGGAGAGGGAACAGGGACAGGGGACGGCGACAGGGGACAAGGGATAAGGGGATAAGGGATAAGGAGAGGGACAGGAGACAAGGGATAAAGGAGAGGTGACAAGTGACAAAGGACAGAAGATTGGGACAAGAGACAGGGGATAAGGGACAGGTGACAAGTGACAAGGGGAGAAGTGACCAGGGACAGGGACAGGGGATAAGGATTAGGGACAGGGACAAGGGACAGGTGACAGGGACAGGGACAAGGGATGGGATAAAGATTAGGGACAGGTGACAAGGGACAGGGACAGGTGACAAGGACAAGGACAGGGACAAGGGACACGGGATGGGACAAGGGACAAGGACAGGGACAAGGGCCAGGGCTGAGGGCCAAGGCACGAGGCCGAGGGAGGGGGACAGGGACAGGAAGGGGATGGGGAATGGAAAAAGGGAACAACAAAAAAAGAGGAAGAAGAAAAGGGAACGGGAGCAGGTGACAGTGACAGCGACAATGACAATGACACCGGGCACGTGACCCCGGCACGCGCCTGCGCACGTGACCCGTCCCCCCATGGCGCCCCCTGGCGGGCCGCTCCCGCCGCTCAAATCTCGCGAGATCTCCCCGCCAGCGGCGGACCCCCCCTCATCCCCGCTGCCCCTCCGCGCGCGCGCCGCAGCTCTCGCGAGAATTCCCGGACTGTGAGGCGGAAGCGCCGCTCTGCCGCCATTGCTCCCTCCATTCATCCTCCCGCCGCTCCCACCGGCACCGGCASCGGCACCGGCACCGGGCTCGGCCCGGAGCGCCGCGGCCCCGGCCCCGCCATGGAGGCGAGCGCGGCCAAGCGGAAGGAGCCGCGCAAATCGCTGCGGGTTAAAGTCATCTCCATGGGCAACGCCGAGGTGGGCAAGGTAAGGCGCCGCCATTGGC